TTCCTGCTAGTCAGGTGCAATATTTAGTCCTGGTCTCATCAGCTCAGTCTCAGTAGCTAAAAGAAGCACACAATTCAGGTTCTAAATGTGGTGCTGAGCCTTCCAGAGTCTAACAATAAACACGTCACCCAGGACCCCACAGAATTATAAATACATGTTTTCCCACACTTTAAGAAGATTTAAAGAACATAGCCCCAAGTTTTATTTTTGATACAAGCACTCAGAAGTGTGGACAGGTTTATTTATTAATTCTTAAGCAAAATTAAGAATGTAGCTAAGCACATAACCCTTTTCAAGTAAAGTCTCTGCAGGATGGGACTAGTTTGGAAACAGTTATTTATTCACAAAACCTACCTCAAACTGATGGCTTATTAAGCGTCACATAGTAACACCAAAACACACTCAACAAAACCCCCTTTTATATGAAGCCAGAGAAACATTTTAAAACAAATGTTGAAGTAGAAATTGGATCTTATTTTATCAAATGTCTCTACAACAGGTTTATAGTCAACATTTTGGAGAAGAAATCCTGAAAGTGAAAACTGGCTTGCATCAGCTAAACTTCAACTTTCATGTTTACACACACTTCTGCATTTGAACGAAACCTGACTATCAAGAAAATCCAGGTAATAAAAAAAATTAAGAGATTAATTAAAGAAAATAACACCCCCTAATATAAATCTGAAGGAGAAAAAGATTCTTCCTTTGAGTCCTTCCATTTCTTAAGAGAAAGGGAGAGGGGCAGGCCAGAAGAGGAAGAACAGCCCAGGCCTGACATCTTTACGTGCAGACAGAACCAAAGGCAGATCAGCCGAGACGGACGTATTCTGCTGCGGTCCCGACTTCCCCATCCTGAGGGAGATGTCTCTCAGCAGCTGCCATCAGATCAAGCAGGGGGAAGCAGAACTTTTACCCAGATGAATGAAGGACCCATGTGGATCCCGAGCCATTCACCAGATCACAGAATCAATTAGGTTGGACGAGACCTCTGGGATCACCGAGTCCAACCTTCGATGCACCCTCCTGGTTTGGGTTAACGACATGCAGGCCATTAATTGTCCCACTCACTGCACAGGGATTTCTTCTCTGGCCAGGCTCACTGTTAATGGATAGAGAAAGCAGGACTGCGCGCCAAATGCACTCTCAAATGATTTTTTACTTACCACTGGGGAATTTCTGAACCCCTTGATAGCTTGGAAAATGCCACCTCCTATCGCTCCCATCGTGAAAGCACCTCCGCAGTCATCCACTATCCTCCAGGGACTATAAACAAAAATAAAGATGAAAATACTAAATTCCATCATGTTAAACCATGCAAGTAGCTGTTACGGATCCACCACTCACGCATTGAGTGTAGCGGGAGTGAAAATCAAGCCTGCCAGCTGTATTGTCTCACATCCAGCTTGCTGAGCGGACATCAACAAAACACAGGCACAAGTAATGTTACAGCAGAACAAACTCAACCTTTGCCGAGAATATACCAACCCATCTCCCTAGAGATGGCAAGTACCAAATATACAGAAGAATTGCCTGAACTCTTCACACAAGGCAGAGAGACGTACTTCCATCATGGAAAACTTCTGCAGAATTCCAGTTCCGTCCTGCTTATGCAGCGTAAATAGCTTTAAATTTACTGTTCTCGTTCCTGTCTTGACCTACAGAAAACTTAACTTAACAAGACTCAGTTCACAGCTGGCACAAAACACGGCTTTCCTGAATTACTCATGCTTTTCATCAGTTCTGGTTATTTAAATGAGAGACTTCAAAGTCATCTTTTGTTAAACTGAAAAGTTCTTTCCTGATGCATCCCGGATCTTTGAAGTTCATTCAAACAAAACACAGATCTAGTCAGAGGTCCAGAAGGCCACGATTCCTGCCTCCAACAACACGGAGCCTGAAACGTTTCCGATCAGTGAGCAAAAAAGCTTTGCAACAGAAAGAGCACCGTCCTCGCAGCAAACGCTTTCAACACCGGTGAGATGAGCTTTAATTTGGGGTTCAAAACCGCTGGCAAGCACTAGAGCCTTGTAACTCTCCACCACTAAATTGAACTCCTAAACTAGGTGAGCACTAACCTGCTATTAACCTCTCTTGCCACTGTTGGTAATTTCTAAGCATAAAATAACAAAGTCATTTTGTTTCTTTCATCTTACATCAAAATCTCACCGCAGAAGCCAAGCGCTCAGATGATTGCAACTGTCAATAATCAGAAAACCTAGCAAAAACCAGACTGCAACAACACGCAGGGTCACAAAACTGAACGCTACGGCAAGCTCAGTGTTCACATGAGCAAATCACAGATATGGGCCTCGATGCACGTTTCCAATTTCACTCTGAATATCATGTTTCTGTTCTTGAGCACCCAGCTCCTGCACGTGAGAACACCTCTTCACTGACCTGTTTTGAATCTGTCACTTTTCTACTTCACAGAATATGTTAATGATCTTCTGCTGTAAGGAGTGAAAAACATTCCCGCTTTTCCCCAGACCCCATGCTGTACCGCATATTTTATCACGAGGTGGTTTTTTCCTTCCTGAAAAAAAATGTCTAAAATTTGGGGTTCCTCCTCCTACCCCTTCTCCCAGGCTCCTCGCTTCCATGACCTGCTTCTGAACCTCTCCCTACCTCCGCAGTCGCTTTAATGAGAGAGCGTAGCCAGCTCTAAACGAAGGTAAATCCCTTGTTTGCACACGTGGCATTGTTCGCTTGCTTCGCTTTCGCATCTTGGCATCGCTTGGCTGTTCTGAACGCACCAGAACCCCACCCAAATGTCACCTCTGATCTTCCCCAGTGACAGCAACATCCAGGTCCCAAATCCACATGGATTCAGAAAACAGGAGACTTGTACATTATCCCACCATGCATCACCCTTCTTTTTTATTGCCCTGCCTCTAACACACTTTCATCTCATACTCCTTACAAAACCCCTCTAGCTTTGACTAAATTAAATAATTTAGCCCCACTTCACATTTTATTTTCCTTCCCCTATTTCCTGCATTTAATGATCAGGAAAAGGTTACAGGCACATTGTTGTCAAAGATGCCAAGATGAAAAGAGACTAAGTCTTTCTTCTCAGGGTTTTTTGTTGTTGTTGTTTTGTTCTTCTCCACATCTCCTGTCCAGATTTTGATCTACTCTGTTATGAATAAAACATCTCATCACAATTCTCTTCCTTCGTTAAGTTGCTAACAGTGATCTTAAAAGGCTTTCTGGAAATCTAAATAGATTATGTAAAGTGGTCTTCCTTCACCCACAAGGTCAAAGAATTCCAATTTGGCAAGTCATGACTGTTCTTTACAGAGCTTCATTAATCAGACCCCAATCATGGAACGCTTTCCTAGATTTTTTCCATCTTTAACCCTGCTTCAGCTCATTAGCTGTTACCTTTGGGGTTCTTAATTTTCCTTTTAAACTATCCGCCAAGCCTCTGCAGAAGCAGCTTTCAAACGAGGAAACGTCTTTGATATCAGCACATTCATTTCGTAGGTCTGCTCCTTTGAACGCCCAGATAGATGCTGTGCACATCTGAAAGCTGAAACAAAACACCCACCAGTCCCTGGCAGTGCCTGACCCCAATAGAGGAAAGAAGCGGAAGAGAATAAAAGAGATTATTCCATTATTAATTTGGCACTTATCTACAAGCTTAAAGTTACTGTTAATTGTTTCCCTGACGTTAAGGGAAGCCCTCACAGTAGGAGAACAATGTGCTCACTGCTACATGCCAGATAAGGTCAGATTCCTACTCCCGATGGCAACCAAGATTGCTTAGAGAAGAGGAGAACAGAGGCCAGGACTTTGCTTAGGCCAGGGCTCCGGCGCAGCCACATCCCAGCTTAACCAACCGGAGAGGCTGAGGACACCCCACACCTCGGGTACGCGCCCAGAGGGAGCTGCGGTGGTAAGCCGGTGGCCACCATGCCAGCTCGGCTTGATAAAAAGAGAAGAGGGTGGCAGAGCTAGCGGGGTAAGGGAAGCTGGTGGCCACCACGCCAGCTCTGACTGCCCATGAGCAGAGACCCTCGCTTAGAGGGGTGAATCGTCCCTGCAAGCTCCATGGCTGCCTACGGCTCTCCTAACGGCCGATGAACCACCAGAGTCAGAGGCTGTCATGTTTTCAATAAATGAAGCTGCCTTTTCTCAGCGCCGATGGCTCAGCAGGGCGCCAGCCTGACACCAGGTCTGCTGCAGAAGGGGCAGCGCTTCATCTTCATCATTGAACTGTCGTGACATGGCATGTCATGAACAGCCTGACCTCTTGCCTTCCCCATCAGCGAGAAGACTACGCAACGATCCGGGCTTGTAATGAAGGTGACCACGATGCAAATTACAGCCAGGTCTTACGGTGTCACCTTCCAGCAAGGTCACACTGCTCCCAGAAACAATAACTCCCAGGGGGCTGAAACCCCCCCACCTCACTGCAGGGGGGAGAGAGGTAACGGGGTGACCAGCCGCAAAATGGGACAAAACAGTGTGGGCCCCCCACAGCCCAGCTGCAAAATGTCCCTACCGCATGACCTTACCAAAGGGAGAACGAGATTACCCGGAGCCCACAGCAATCAATCAATCGATAAAATTCATTTCGCTAACATCTCAAACTTTGTGCTGTGGAGAGGCGGAGCTGACACTTGTGCAGAAACTTCAAACGTGGCAGCGGAGCAACCTGCAAAGCTTTGGGAAAAGCCTTGAGACCGGTCACAGCTCTCTATTCGCGGAGGCGAGCAGAACGCTGGGTACTTAATCCCGAGCCTAAGTTTTCATTTACATGTTTTATTACGACAAAGAAAACCTTGAAGGTGCACCCAAGGCGGCTGTGAACGTTCACAGAGACACTGCTGAAACGCGACCGGCTTTAGACGCGGTGAGGCCGGCGGGCGCCGGT